GGCCGCAGTGCCGCCTGCCCCCGCCCTGCGGCGGTTCTAACGCCCGGGGCCTGAAGAGGGACCCCGGGCACCTGTCGAAGCGGCAGAAGCACGGAGGGCACCGCAGGAGGGCGCGGGGCAGCCACCCCCACGCAGCTGTTCCCACGGGCAGCAGCAGGGCAGGAGGGCGCGGGCCTGGACCCTCTCCCTCCCCAGCCTCCTCTGGAGGGGGCGCTTCCGCTCCGTGTCCCCCCGCTCCACAGGGCAGTCTCGGGAGTGCGGGTTGCGTCGTCAGCCCCCGAACTGCGTCAAGGCAACGTGGTAAAATGTCAACAGGAAGTCAGGTCGGTTCCTAGGGGCCAGGAGAGCCCAGGTGCCCTCAACGCAGTCTTTGGTAGGTGGGCTTCCAGCTCTGGGAAGACAGGCCAGGGAGGACCTCAGAATCCGTCACCTCAGACAGGCCGGCAGGAGCCAGGGGCGCCTCCGAGGTCTCCCGGCCGACACCCCCAGCACCTCGGCTCAGAAAGACTGCAAAGTACGTCCCAGTGCTGACATCGAAGCATCGCGATTTAATGAGCGCCTCCTGGAATAAAGGAGAGGGAGTGGCCACTGCCCTGTCTCCGACCCACGTGTAAGACGCGGAGGCTGGCCACGGTCAAGGCCAGCGTGTTGGTCCACTGCGCTGCTTAAGGCTACGCCTGGCTTTAATTCTTTACCAGCTGTTCTGCTGTGTTTTTGTTTTAAGGCCAACTCCAGCGTTAGGACCCCTGTCCCCTCCTGCCGCCGGCGTCCAGTGGGATCCACGCAGGTGCCCCGCTGCTCCACTGCGGCGGCCTCAGTGTCTGAGGGACTGGGCTCCCCTTCTCCATCTCGCGGCTGTCTCTCTGCAGTGCGGTCAGCACCTGGGGGTCACACAGGACACGTCGGTGGTTAACCCGCAACGCACATGACAGAGCCGCCGGCGGGCGTGGCACAGGCGGCAGCCGCCTCCCAGCCCGGCCCTCCACCGCCCCACAGCCCCCCCAACCCCTTCCCACCCTCTGGACCACGACCCAGCCCTGCATCCAGGTGCTTTGTTTGTTTCTAAGATTTATTTATTTGAGAGGCAGAGTTAGAAGGAGAGACAAAGAGAGAGAGGTCTTCCAACCATTGGCTCATTCCCCAGGTGACCCCAACGGCTGGGCTGGGCCAGGCTGAAGCCAGGAGCCAGGAGCTTCTTCCTGGTCTCCCACATGGTGCAGGGACCCAAGCACTTGGGCCGTCTTCCACTGCTTTCCCAGGCCACAGAAGAGAGTGGGATCGGAAGTGGAGCAGCCGGGACTCAAACTGGCACCCACACGGGACGCAGGCTCCACAGGCGGAGGCTTAGCCCACTGCGCCACAGCGCCAGACTCTTTCTAGAATGGAGATCCACCATGATCTCAGGCTGACGTCTCTCAAGACATCAGCTGTGAAACCAACGTCAAAGCAGGCGCCGGGCCATCTCCTCCACAGGCTGGCTGCAGCCCTGCACAGGACCACCCGGGACGCCGTCCAGGCACCTGGCTGCACCACCCTGCCCCTGCAGCCCCGGTTGGCACCTGTGCCTGTACCCAGCCCTGCCCCTGTAGCCCCCCGCCTACACTTGTGCCTGTACCCAGCCCTGCCCCTGTAGCCCCGCCCACACCTGTGCCTGTACCAGCCCTGCCCCTGTAGCCCCCCACCCACACCTGTGCCTGTACCCAGCCCTGCCCCTGTAGCCCCCCGCCTACACTTGTGCCTGTACCCAGCCCTGCCCCTGCAGCCCCGCCCACACCTGTGCCCATACCAGCCCTGCCCCCATAGCCCTGCCCACACCTGTGCCTGTACCCACCCATGCACCCATAGCCCCGCCCACACCTGTGCCTGTACCCACCCCTACCCCTGTAGCCCCCCACCCACACTTGTGCCCGTACCCAGCCCTGCCCCTGTAGCCCCGCCCACACCTGTGCCCGTACCCAGCCCTGCCCCTGTAGCCCCCCACCCACACCTGTGCCTGTACCCAGCCCTGCCCCTGCAGCCCCGGTTGGCACCTGTGCCCGTACCCAGCCCTGCCCCTGTAGCCCCCCACCTACACTTGTGCCCGTACCCAGCCCTGCCCCTGTAGCCCCGCCCACACCTGTGCCCGTACCCAGCCCTGCCCCTGTAGCCCCCCGCCTACACTTGTGCCCGTACCCAGCCCTGCCCCTGCAGCCCCGCCCACACCTGTGCCCATACCAGCCCTGCCCCCATAGCCCCGCCCACACCTGTGCCTGTACCCACCGCTACCCCTGTAGCCCCCCACCCACACCTGTGCCTGTACCAGCCCTGCCCCCGTAGCCCCGCCCTTCAGCTCTGCTGGTCCACCAAGGTGATGTCCCTCCTCTCTGCTCCCACAGTTTTTGGCTGTCACTTTTATTTTATTAGAAAAAAAATTCCAGAGCCAGCACCGTGGCACAGCTGGTCAAGCCCCAGCCTGCAGCAGCAGCATCCCACATGGGCGCTGGTTCGAGTCCTGGCTGCTCCTCTTCCGATCCAGCTCCCTGCCAATGCACCTGGGAAAGCAGTGGAAGACGGCCTAAGGGCTTGGGCCCTGCACCCACACGGGAGACCTGGAAGAAGCTCCTGGCTCCTGGTTTCGGCCTGGTCCAGTCTTGGCTGTTGCGGACACTTGGGGAGTGAACCAGTGGATGGCAGACCTCTGTGTCTGTCTCTGTCTCTCCTAACTCTGCCTTTCAAATAAATAACATTTTTTGAAAACATTCCTTGGGGCCGGCGCTGTGGTGCAGTGGGTTAACGCCCGGGCCTGAAGCACTGGCATCCCATGTGGGCACCAGTTCAAGACCCGGCTGCTCCACTTCCCATCCAGCTCTCTGCTGTGGCCTGGGAAATGCAGTGGAAGATGGCCCAAGTGCTGGGCCCCTGCACCTGCGTGGGAGACCTGGAAGAAGCTCCTGGCTTTGGATCAGCACAGTTCCGGCTGTTGCAGCCAACTGGGGAGTGAACCAGCGGATGAAAGACCTCTCTCTCTCTCCTCCCCCCCCCCACCTCTCTTCTCTCTGTGTAACTCTGAGTTTTGAATAAATAAATAAATCTTAAAAAAACATTCCTTTAGTAAACAATACTCCACCGCACTGGGAGGGCTGGCGACAGAACAGGCCCACGCCAAGCTGCCCCTCCCCGGCGCACCCTGCAGAGGGGGAGGGGCGCCGGACCCCAGCAGCCTACGCTGCCATGGGCGCTCACGCCCAGACGAGCCTGACTTCTAACCAAGGGCTCCCAGGAGCCCAGTGCGTATCCGCCTGGGGCCGGCCAGCACGCTCCGAGGGGGAGCCGACGCCACCCGGGTTCTGGGCGGTCGCGGGAAAGCTGTAGCAGGAGCCCCTCTGCACCGTAAGGACTTCACTGAACACATCTAGTGTGGAGGGACGCTCGCCTCCAGGACACGGGAGCGTGGAGCAGCGTGCCGAGACCGACGCCGCGCCGGCCCTGAGCCTGCCCCGCCAGCCAGGCCGACCCACACGACCGTGGACGGACACCGTCCTCCTCCCCGGCCCCCCGGCCCCCCGGCTCCCCGGCGCGGCTTAACCTCGTCTCCAACCACAGGAAGCAAAACACGGGTCGGGGTGAACTCGCCCTCGCGTGTGTCTGTGAGAGGTAAACAACCATCTAGAAGCAGGGTGTGTGGTGTGCGTGTGTGTGTGTGTGGTGTGTGTGTGCGGTGTGTGGTGTGCATGTGTGTGTGTGTGGTGTGTGGTGAGATGTGTGTGTGCTGTGTATGTGTGTGTGTTGTATATGCGTGTGTGGTGTGTGTGTGGTATGTGTGTGTGTTGTGTGTGGTGTGCGTGTGTGTGGTGTGTGTGTGTAGTGTGTGGTGTGTGGTATGTGTATGTGTGGTGTGTGTATTTGGTGTGTGTGTGGTGTGTGTGTGTGGTGTGTGTGTGTGTGTGTGGTGTGTGTATGTGTGGTGTGTGTGGTGTGTGTGGTGTGCGTGTGTGTGGTATGTGTGTGTGTGGTATGTGTATGTGTGGTGTGTGTATTTGGTGTGTGTGTGGTGTGTGTGTGTGTGGTGTGTGTGTGTGTGTGTGTGTGGTATGTGTATGTGTGGTGTGTGTGGTGTGTGGTGTGCGTGTGTGTGGTATGTGTGTGTGTGGTATGTGTATGTGTGGTGCGTGTGTGGTGTGTGTGTGGTGTGTGTGTGTGGTGTGCGTGTGTGTGTGGTATGTGTGTGTGTGGTATGTGGTTTGTGTGGTATGTGTGTGTGTGGTGTGTGTGGTGTGTGTATGTGTGGTGTGTGTGTGTGTGTGTGGTGTGCGTGTGTGTGGTGTGTGTGGTATGTGTATGTGTGGTGTGTGTGTGTGTAGTGTGTGGTGTGTGGTATGTGTGTGTGTGTGTAGTGTGTGGTGTGTGTATGTGTGGTGTGTGTATGTGTGGTGTGTGTGTGGTGTGTGTGTGTGTGTGTGGTGTGCGTGTGTGTGGTATGTGTGTGTGTGGTATGTGTGTGTGTGGTGTGTGTGTGTGGTGGGTGTGTATGTGTGTGGTGTGTGCGTGTGAGGGCAGGAGCAGCCCTGGGTCCTGAGTGGGCAGAGGCCGGCAGGAGGGCCCTGGCCTCCGTGGTGTGGTGTATGTGTGTGTGGTATGTGGTGTGTGTGGTGTGTGTATGTGTGGTGTGTGTGTGTGTAGTGTGTGGTGTGTGGTATGTGTGTGTGTGGTGTGTGTGTGTGTGGTGTGTGTAGTGTGGTGTGCGTGTGTGTGGTGTGTGTAGTGTGGTGTGCGTGTGCCTCGGGCCCCGACTGGGCAAAGGCCAGCAGGAGGGGCCCTGGCCTTCCGTGGTGTATGTGTGTGTGTGTTGTGTGGTGTGTGTGTGGTGTGTGGTGTGTGGTGTGGTGTGTATGTGTGTGTGTGTGTGTGGTGTGTGTGGTGTGTGTACTGTGGTCTGCATGTGCCCCGGGCCCTGAGTGGGCAAAGGCCAGCAGGAGGGGCCCTGGCCTTCCGTGGTATATGTGTGTGTGTGTTTGTGGTGTGTGGTGTGTGATGTGTGTGGTGTGTGTGGTGTGTGTAGTGTGGTGCGCGTGTGCCCTGGGCCCCGAGTAGGCAGAGGCCGGCAGGAGGGGCTCTGGCCTCCGTGGTATGGTGTGTGGTGTGTGGTGTGTGTGGGTGTGTTGTATATGTGTGTGTATGTGTTGTGTGTGGTGTGTGTGAGGGCAGGGGCAGCCCCAGGCCCCGACTGGGCAGAGGCCGGCAGGAGGGGCCCTGGCCTCCTGTGGTGTGTGTGTGTGTGGCGGATACGTGGTGACAGAAGGGCCCAGTGGCCGGTGAGCGGGGACAGCGCTGTAGCTCTGGCGAAGACCCCTCAGGGGGTAAACAGCTGCCAGACAACACCCGGCCCGGGCCCACTCCCACACTCCTGGAGGGGCAGGTCGGGGAAAGCCTGACACACGGCCGGCCACGCGGCCACAGCCACTGGGCCCAGTACCTGCAAGCTCAGGCCACGGAAGTCAGAGCCCTCCCGACAGGAACCCCTGGAGCCCGACGACACCGGTCAGTCCCGCTGGGGACGAGACCAGCAGGGACGTCGAGGAGAGCGCCGGGACGGAGCAGCGCCAGGCCAGAGGCGCTGCCGCGGCCCCACAAGCCAAGGAAGAGGTGAGGGACCTGTGGGCCCCCCGGTCACCGCCCCCTCCCGGGGCTCGCCCTGTGACACACAGGACGAGGACAACCGCAGCCACTTGGCCAGCACGCGGAGCCCCGAGCAGGGGCCGAGTACCTGAGCCCACTTCTTGTTCCGACTCTGCATCTGGACGGTGGCGACGGAGGCGAACAGCTCCTCGGCGGGCAGGTCCTCGGGCAGCCGGGTCAGGAACTGGGCCATGTGGATGAAGTCCATCTTGGTCAGGATGTCCTGGAACAGCTTGAGCACGCCCAGCGCCGTGCGGAACAGGAACTCCTCCCCGTCCCGGCAGAACACGTCCCAGATGCGGCAGGCCAGGTCCAGCGGCAGAGACTTGCTGTACAGGGTGAAGATCCTGAAAGAGACCAGGGCTGCTCACGCCGGGCGCCCGGGCCGGCTCCGGGGCAGGCGGATCCGCCCGCACTCGCTCCCAGCGCTTCTGGAACGCGGACTTCCTGGCAAGCACGCAGCCTCAGCCGCCACCCAACGTCTCGGTCACGGCTCCGAGGACTCCCGCTCCCGGGCACGCGACAGGCACTACTATGGGCCTACGCTGTGGCGGGTACGGGACTCGAAGGTTCGAGAGACAGCAACCCGAATTCACAGAGCGCACAGGCGGGTAGAAACAGTTCCCGGAAACCTTACTTTATTTTAGACTGACTTCTCTTACTGATTTGCAAGGCAGAGAGAAGGAAGGAGAGAGATTTTCCACCCTCCGTTCACTGGGGTGGGCCTGGCGCCAGGAGCTCCACCCAGGCCTCCAGGACCTGGTCATGTTTCCTCCCCGGCACACGGCAGGAAGTCGGATCGGCACCCAGGCCTCCAGGACCTGGTCATGTTTCCTCCCCGGCACACGGCAGGAAGTCGGATCGGCACCCAGGCCTCCAGGACCTGGTCATGTTTCCTCCCCGGCACATGGCAGGAAGTCGGATCGGCACCCAGGCCTCCAGGACCTGGTCATGTTTCCTCCCCGGCACACGGCAGGAAGTCGGATCGGGGCGGGACTTGAACCCAGGCATACGAAGCGGCAGCTCACCCTGCTGTTCCACACGTGTCCCGGGGTCCACGTGTGCACACTATGATCCACGTTCTTCCCAAGGGGTCAGCAAAGGCACAAGGTACGTTTTTCCTAATAAACTTGACCCCGGATGACCAAAACACTGACCGCAAGATCAGTGCAATGAATTATGCAACTCATTGGTGAAACACAGATACGCGTTCCCTTCAAACTCGCCAACCCCAATCCAAGTGCCCGACAAACAACGCCGAGTGCCACTCCTGTCGCCAGGTCTCATCTGGGACGCGCGGACGTCCAGGGGAGCCCGGGAGGAAGACGGAGGAGTCCCTTCCCATCATCCCCGCCCTCAGCTGTCACCTCGGGCGGCTGCTCCCTCCCTGCAGGCCTGGGCTCCCTCCGGCCTGGCGCTCAGCGTTTGCTTCTGTCTTCTCCACGGACGCTGCCGATTCGTCCCGATCTATGCTCAGTCAACAGCAGGCTGGCGACGCCCCGCCGGCGAGGTGGTCCTCCCCGCTTTCCCATCGGTAAGGGTGCTCGCCAGAGGCGGCCTCGCCTGGGAAGCCACCGAGCACTCCCGAGCCAGCTCCGGAAACGCCTCTGGCCACGGAGCCCTGCACTCAGGCCGAGGAGCTGATGGGACAGGGTGACCCACCAAACCATACACCTCGTCCTGCCGAGAGCCACTGGGGTACTGACGACGTCACTCACAGCCCTGCGGCGGGTGGGCCGAGTCTCGGGGCACTGGCACGCCCAGCCCTGCGCCAGCTCTCAGCAGGTGCCGGCTGTCCTGGCCCAGGGACGCCTGCTGTCCTGGGGGAAGCTTCTCACATGACCAGGGACACGCAGTCAGGGACAGGCACAGACCCGACAGCTGCCACGCAAGATCAACCATGTTTCAGGCTGCCCCTTCAGCACAGAGTGACTCAGGCTCCACCCACTCGGGACAGATGGGCGGCGCCGACGCCACAGAAATCCCTCGCATTGGCCACGGCCGGGCTCTGTGGCCCCCGAGCCTCTCTCATCTCACTTTGGCCGAGCGAACCAAGCCTCAGGGTGACCCATGATGTCCCTAGGCCCTACCACCAGCAAGGGCCTGGCCCCAAGCCCTCCCTCGGACGAGGGAGCCGCGGCCCAGCCTCAGCAGTGACCTCTGTAAGTCACCTGGGCGAGCAGAGAAGCCGCACGCGTGCCCACAGCTCGGCCCCCACCACGCTCTCCCTGGCCCTGCTGCGGGGCAGTGCGTGAACCACACAGCGCGGCAGCCGGGGGCAGAGGGAGGGATGAGCACCCACTTCTGGACAGGGTGGGCGCGGGCGGCTGCACCCCGGCAAGGGGACACCTCTGCCCCCATGAACAGGAAGCAGTGAGCCAGCAGGGGAGCCACAGGAGACAGCAGCGAAGCCTGCGTTCGGAGAGCGAGGAGCGGCCAGGCGGCCGCCGGCCATGGGAGTAAGCGTACATGTCGGAGGCAGAAACCGGGCCTTGTGGCCGTCACAGGGTGTGTGGGTCTCACTCCGAGTGGAGTGGGAAACCAGGGCGGGGAGCGAGCAGGGGTGCCCACCGACGGCTCCTGTAATGGACGCGCACAGGCGGGGCACGGGGCGGCAGGCGAAGTGGACTGGCTAGCGGGGCTGCAGGACGGCGGCTCTCGGGCTGGGCAAGGGAGAGAGCTATCACTCAAGGACGCATGGCATCTCCAGTTTGGGTAGGGGGTGAGGTTTGCTGCTTCTTACTTAAAAAAAAATTATTTATTTGGTTTTGAAAGGCAGAGCAGGAGAGAGTGAGAGATGCTCCATCCTCTGATTCCCTAAGTGGCAGCAACAGCCAGGCCCGCGTCAGGCGGAGGCCAGGACCCAGGAACCCCATCCTCGATCCCACACGGGAGGCAGGCCTCCCAGCACGTGGCCCATAATGCACTGCCGGCCCGGTGCACCAGCGGGGAGCTGGATCGCAAGTGGAGCAGCCACAACTCGCATCTGAAACGCGGTGCCGGCCGCGTGAGCGGCAACCTAGCCCACTGCGCCAGCATGCTGGCCCATGAGGCAAGTTGTTTGTTTTGTTTTTAAGATTTATTTGTTTACTTGAAAGTAGAGTTACACAGAGGGAAAGGAGAGATGGGGAGAGAGATCTTCCACCTGCTGATTCACTTCCCAATGGCAGCAGCAGCCAGGGTTGGGCCAGGCCAAAGCCAGGAGCCAGGAGCTTCCTCCAGGTCTCCCACGTGGGTGCAGGGCCCAGCACTTGGGCCGTCCTCCACTGCTCTCCCAGGCCACAGCAGAGAGCCGGAAGGGAAGTGGAGCAGCCAGGCTGGAACTGCCACTCATATGGGATGCCGGCACTGCTGATGGCGGCTTCACCCGCTGTGCCAGCCCCAAGAAGCGAGTCCTAGGACACGTCAGGTTCAGAGCCAGCCAGCCAGTGGGCCCAGGTGGAGGTGGGGGGGGCGCTGTGTCACGCTGAGAGGGGCGGCTGTTGACTGTGGCCGCGCCCACCGCCCAGCGCCCGTGCGCGCCTCACTGGGGGCTGCTTTGACGCGGTGACAGGCATCCAGGGAGGCCTTCAGTGCTGCCACACACTACACACTACAAACAGCTAGCGCTTCTTTAACTTCACTTCACAGTGTCTCCTCACAAGCCCCCGTCTGCATGACCGCAATTTGGAAGGCCGTTCCCCAACCCTGGGACCGGGGGCCCCCTACTCCACAGCCATTGACTGCACACGTCCACACCAGCCCAGGGCGTCCCCCGGGGTGCGGCCACACACACGTCCACACCAGTCCAGGGCGTCCCCCGGGGTGCGGCCACGCGCACGTCCACACCAGCCCAGGGCGTCCCCCGGGGTGCGGCCACACACACGTCCACACCAGCCCAGGGGAGGCCTGCCAGGGAAGGGGCACCTTCTGCAGCCCCACACGTACCCGTCACACCTTCTGGGCCTCTCAGTGGCCAGCCGGCGGGTCTCTGCACTCAGGCCAGGGGCCACCCCACTCCCAGTCACTAGGCTACTCCTGTTGCCTCTCTGGACTGCAAGTGCCTAGGGGCACACAAGTGTCCCTGGCAGCTTCCTCCTTCCCCCAGCAGGGACAGCCCAGGGGTGCCCTCCCCCGAGTCACCAGGAGCTTTCAAATGCTCGGCTGTGTTTTTAAAACACGCTTGGGGGGCTGGCGCTGCGGTGCAGCGGGTTAAAGCTGTGGCCTGAAGTGCCAGCATCCCATATGGGCACTAGTTCTAGTCCCGGCTGCTCCTCTTCGATCCAGCTCTCTGCTGTGGCCTGGAAAGGCGGGAGAAGATGGCCCAAGTGCTTGGGCCCCTGCACCCATGTGGCAGACCCGGAAGAGGCTCCTGGCTCCTGGCTTCAGATCGGCGCAGCTCCGGCCATTGTGGCCATCTGGGGAGTGAACTAGCGGATGGAAGACCTCTGTCTCTACCTCTCTCTGCAACTCTTTCAAATAAAATAAATAAATCTTTAAACACACACACACACACACACACACACACAGAGTTAGTGTCAAAAGCCAGCCTCGAATAGGACATTAAAACAGTGCTCTCAGTGGCTGAGTGGCCAGCCCAAAGGTCGCGACCCCGGGGTCAGAACTACTGGGAGACCCTGGGCTGCGGTGTGCACACCCCTCCCCCCCATCTCACCACTGGGCTCCCCACCATCACGTGCCCAAAACACCCTCGGCCTCCCCAGAACCGGCTCAGTGATCTCTCTACAGCACCGAGAGCACTAGAGGATTCTCCCTCCCAGGGAGCGACGTTTAGTTTAACCCCAGGCCGCCGCATCGGAACGCAGTATCAAAACCAGCCAAGGTCCTGGCCAGGCAGATGGTGCCCGGTCCTGGTGCTGCCCGGGACGCCCGTGCCCCTGCGCCCTGGGTCCTGGTGCGCTGCCCGGGACGCCCGTGCCCACTGTGCCCTGGGTCCTGGCGCTGCCCGGGACGCCCGTGCCCCACTGCGCCCTGGGTCCTTGCGCTGCCCGGACGCCCGTGCCCACTGCGCCCTGGGTCCTGGCGCTGCCCGGGACGCCCGTGCCCACTGCGCCCTGGGTCCTGGCGCTGCCTGGGACGCCCGTGCCCACTGCGCCCTGGGTCCTGGTGCTGCCTGGGACGCCCGTGCCCACTGCGCCCTGGGTCCTGGTGCTGCCTGGGACGCCCGTGCCCACTGCGCCCTGGGTCCTGGCGCTGCCTGGGACGCCCGTGCCCACTGCGCCCTGGGTTCCAGTTCCACTTGCCTGATGTACACACTCCGGGAGGCAGCAGTGACGGCTCAAGTACTGGGGGCCCTGCCACCTACGCGGGAGACCCGGATGGAGTTCCAGGCTCCCGGCTTTGCCTGGCCCAGCCCTACTGTGGCAGGCGTTTAGAGAGTGAGCCAGCAGATGAAAGATCTCTCTTTCTGTGTGTGTTCCAAATAAATAAAAAATAAATGTTTTAAAGTAAAACCACGTGAAACCTGGCTAGGCTCAGGAAGCCGCTCGGTGCAGCACTGCATCTCTGCGGTGCTACCAATGAAATGGCTCTGGTTTGGGATCCACCGGCAGGTGTGAGCTGTCCCCTCCCCCGCAGCGCGTGCCAGAACGGACAGCTTCCTCCTGCAGGCCGTCACAACTTCCCGGAGACGTCCTTATCTGGCCCCTCTAAGCGCCTGAGTTCGCAGGAACACAAGGGAGCGCTGGGGGGTTGGGCGGGGGGGCCGTTCCCGGCCGCTCGTGTCCACTCAGCAGAACCGCTGGCTGCCCTGGCCGCCGCCGAGTGGCCTTGGGCTGCAGACCAAACAGGAAGCACTGTGTTCTGTGCCTTTGCCTGGCCTCTGTGATGTCATCCTGGGAGGACGCAGCACCACTGTGCCTCCCACAGAAGACGCAGACCCCGGCCGAGGCAGGGCAGGCCGCCCAGCATCCTCGCGGCCGGGCACCCCCCGCCGTCCCTCCCAGTCTGCCTCCGCGTCCCCCCCCCCCCCCCGAGACGGAGCCTTTGCCCCTGAGCTGGCTCAGGACACCCGGGTCCCCTGCCGCACCCTCTCTGGTCCCAGATAAGCGGGCTTCGTTCCACCGCACGGGGCTAAACAAAGCAAGGTCAAACCAGCCACAGCACAGAGGGCCGAGCCACTGCCTGCACCCGCACCCGCTGGCTGCTCCGCGTCCGAGCCGGCTCCCTGCTGATGAGCCTGGGAGGGCAGCAGAGGCTGGCCCAGGCCCTGGAGGCCCTGCCTCCGCCTGGGACACCAGAGGGACACCAGAGGGGGCTCGCGGCTCCCGCCATTGCAGCCGTTTGGGGAGGGGTCAGTGGAGGGAGGACCCCCTCTCTGTAGCTCTGCCTTTCAAATAAAGTAGGTCTCTTAAAAAATAAAAGAAAATAATGGGTGATGACTAACCAGAACGTGGTACCTGCACACAGTGGCATGGCACTCAGCCACGGAGGGGTCAGTCTGGAGGTCCCCAAGGGGCAGACACATAAGCGCCACACTGCCTCACGGACGGGCAGAAGAGCGGGGAGACAGGGCCGCAGGAGGGAGACGGGGGGGCAGGGGAGAGACGGGGCAGCAGGGGAGAGACGGGGCAGCAGGGGAGAGACGGGGGCAGCAGGGGAGAGAGACGGGGGCAGCAGGGGAGAGAGATGGGGGCAGCAGGGGAGAGAGACGGGGGCAGCAGGGGAGAGATGGGGGCAGCAGGGGAGGGAGAGGGGGCAGCAGGGGAGAGAGATGGGGGCAGCAGGGGAGGGAGACGGGGGGCAGCAGGGGAGAGATGGGGGCAGCAGAGGAGAGATGGGGGCAGCAGGGGAGAGACGGGGGCAGCAGGGGAGAGACGGGGGCAGCAGGGGAGTGAGACGGGGGGCAGCAGGGGAGGGAGATGGGGGTCAGCAGGGGAGAGACGGGGGGCAGCAGGGGAGAGACGGGGGCAGCAGGTGACCGGCTGGGCCAGCCCTCTCAGAGCCCCACTCTTGGCCGTTTCCCTGGTGTTGCTCCCCTCAGCAGGTGGTTCGGCAACCCCTCACGGGACAGACACTCCGGATGGACGGGGGTCCTCTGGCACACCCACGTACCCCTCCTGGGGGCCTGCCAATCTCTGGCCCCTGCCCAAGCTCCGCCCACTTCTACTCTGGCCCAGCGGTCCCGCCTCAGGAACTCCTGCCTCCCTTTCAGATGTGCCACACCCTTGCCCCCCCCCCCCCCCCCCAGCACAAGCCTCCAGCGCCCCTCCACCCCCATCACCTTTTCCAGGCTCGCGTCCGTCTCTGCGACACGCCAAGCCCTGGACCCCAACCTCCTCCCCTGCCTTCCTCCTCCTCCACTGCGGTCCCCAACACCAGCAGGTGCCACGGCTGCTCCGGTTAGCACTGGGACATCACCCACTACCCCGCCCCCCCGTCACACCTGGCTCAAGCCCCTGTGTCACCCCTGTGACCTCTGCCCTTCCTCCCGCCCCTCCCCCCACCCTCCGCTCACCGCCCACCTCCAGGACCCGGCAGGGGCCTGGCAGATGCCCCCTGGGGACGGCTGGCTGCGTGGGTGCACAGGTCTCCGCAGAGAACCCGGGAGGCCCGGCTGGGTCGTGGGTGGTATTAGGGGTGAGCTCTCAGTGCGAGATGGGTGATCATTACAGAGTGGGAGCCCGCAGGGCAGACAGGGGAGAGACGGGAGAGCAGGCCGCAGCGGGGATGGAGGGGAGGGGGCGGGCTGAGGTGCTTGAAGACACACGCAGAGTCTTACCAATCGATCAGGTAGATGTCTGGAGTTAAGTTGTTTTTCTTGAAATGAGCAAATAATTTCGGCAAATTTTCTTCAAAGAATACCTCAAATGCAGCAAAATAAGTCAACATCTAGGGAGACAATGTGAAATATTAACAGTAAACTCACTGTCAGACAAGTTCCCCATTCACCAGGACAGTTACACCTTCAGAATCCAACAGAGCGGCTGACACCCGACAGCGGCCCACGGGGCACCGCCCGGCAGACACAACCATGCGCACCTCGGACCTGCGAGGCAGCTTCCGACTGCTCAGCTCGCCCGGAAGGGAGCGCAGGCCGCGGCAGGGAGGGGCGCGGCATGAGCCTGCCGAAAGCTGGGCCCCACCGCACGGCTGTTCCTGCAGGCCCAGGAGTGCGGCAACTGCACACCTGCAGGAGGACGCGGCTAACGCTGACCTACAGCGGGGCGCCACCGCTCCAGCTCGCTCCCGCAGCCTCTGACCAACAGGCGGGAGACGCTCGGGGAAAGAGCATCGCGGCGTCGGGGAACCGCAGGCTGCTGTCACCTTCTCGGGGGAAACGCGCACCACGCGAGGGGCGGTGCTGAGGGAGGAGGCCGGCTCTCCCTGGCCTGGGAGCGACAGGCCAGGCCGCCGTGTGGGCAGGCGCTCTGGTGGACAACAGGCCCGGGCACCGTGTGGGCAGGCGCTCTGGTGGACCAACAGGCCCAGGCCGCCGTGTGGGCAGGCGCTCTGGTGGTCCAGCAGGCCCGGGCACCGTGTGGGCAGGCACTCTGGTGGACAACAGGCCCGGGCACCGTGTGGGCAGGCGCTCTGGTGGACAACAGGCCCGGGCACCGTGTGGGCAGGCGCCCTGGTGGTCCAACAGGCCCGGGCACCGTGTGGGCAGGCGCTCTGGTGGACAACAGGCCCAGGCCGCCGTGTGGGCAGGCGCCCTGGTGGTCCAACAGGCCCGGGCACCGTGTGGGCAGGCACTCTGGTGGACAACAGGCCCGGGCACTGTGTGGGCAGGCGCTCTGGTGGACCATGTCGGCCCCCCACTGAAAGGGCTTTGCTAACCCAGCGTCCTGACGGGTGGGTGGTGCTGCCTCTCAGGACAGCTGGCGAGGCCCGGAGGTCGTTCCTGCCACGACTGGGGGTGGTGCTGCTGGCGTTCGTGTGTGAGGCCGGGTCGCTGCCACACACGCAGCACGGGAAGCCCTGGTGGTTCCCCGGCCACGCGTCACTGGAGCATTGCGCGTCTGCCAATCAGCGCCAAGGTTCCGCAGTCTCCTGGAAACACGTGAGCTAACATCCTAAGCACGGACTTTACCCTTTGTTCCCAGAGAAGAAATCTGGATGGGAATGACTTTATTACATACAAAAAGACAGGATTAAGTGTGGACCCAGGAACTACTTCCAGAAGTAACTCAGCGTGCGTCAGCGCCGTGCGCTGCCCGGCCCGATGTCCTGATCTCTCGTCTCTGACCACTACCTCCTCGGGGAGGCTGAGCCTTCCTGATTACGGAAGGGAACCCTCTCTGCAGAGGCCTGGGGGACACACAAGCCGCACGAGCCCCTAAGGTTCCCACCCGAAGCAGCCCGATGTGTGGCGCTTTCTCTTTTGCTGTCGAGTAGCGGGCGCTGTCTAACGCTCCTGGGAGAGCGAGCCTCTTCGCCTTGGGCACCGCCGCTCACCCGTCTTCTGCGCACACCCCGGATGCGTCACACACCCGACCGCACAGTTCTGCGCCCCCTCAGACCCGTTTTAAGTTGCTTGCGTGCTCACAACCCTAACTAACATGCTATGACCGCCCGCTGAGCGTAATGACTTGTCCACACCTAGGACTCCTTAGCACAACTGCACACAGCGCTGTGTGGCCGCTGCTAACACCGAACCGCCGGTCTATACCTTCCCAACAGCCACCGTCCAGCAGCAGTTTCCAAATACGCTTTTTAAAATGCAGACACTGCCTGGACAAGCGACACGCACGAGTCCTGCAGACGCCCGGAAGAAACACTCCCGTGGACCTAAGGGTTAGATTATTCTGGCCTTGAGACACCAGCGGTTGCTCTCAGCAAGCTACCAGCACGTCAAGGCCAGGCTCACCGAAAGGCTGGGCGCCCGGGGCACTGGTGACCTTCCGGCCAGCTGCTCCCAGAGCAGGGCTGCCACCGCCAGCTCCAGCACGCACCAGCTGCCTTCTCGCCGCAGTGCCATCCCCTGGCTCCCCAGGCCACCGCCGCCAGCCCTCCCACACCCACAGCACACTGCTGCCCCTCTTGTCAACGCGGGAGCGCGGTCTACACACGCCTCCTTTCTCCAGGTGCCAGCACCTCTCACGACGCACGGCCCCCACACAGCTCACCTACGGTGTGCTGACCAAGAGGCCTGAATGCCTTTAACACACAAAGAGAGAGAGAGAGTGTGTGCGTGCACATGTGTGCATGCCTGTGTTCACGTGTGTGCTGCGTGTGCGAGAATAGCCGCCCTTCCTCCCTGGCTCCAAGACTACCCTGCAAGGTGACCCCCTCTCGAGGCCACCACACATCCACTCACGTGGCCACCAGCGGCTGCTGTCAGACCTGGGTTCAGCGTGACCGCCTCCTCACGCTGTGTGCTGTGAACCCGCTTTGTGCAGGGAAAACACGGGAAGACAGAAAGGCTGGACAGTCCTGATGTGTGGGGGCACAGCACCCAGGCCCAGAATACTCACAAGGCCGTGGTCCACTCGGAAAAACGCCATTTGACAGGGCTTATTCAGCAGGTTAGAAAAAGCGATGAAGGCGTCGGCAGTGTCCAAGTTCAAGATCAACACTGCCGCTATGAAGGACATGCCCTGGACCTGAGGGGAGAGAGGGCGTTCAGTCAGCAGCCGCCACCAAGGTCAGAGCGGCTCGCTCTCCGCACTACAGGAGGAGCCACGCGTTCCGCCGCGGGAAGGGCCCCAGCAGCTACCCACCCAGCCGAACCCGCCGCCCCACGCTCCTGACCCGGCCTCACCCAGAGCACTGCCCTGCTCCGCTCCAGTACCCCCCGCCCCCCACCCGCAGTGGAAACCGTCGCCAAGCCCCCTCCAGGCAGCCTGCCCTGAAGTCCCGCCCTGCAGCTGCAGACACGCAAGCCCAACTCAACGTGTCCCATGCAAACCACACGCGTGCATGCACACACGCACCTGCCACTGCAGCAGTGTGGGCAGCGTGTTTTTTAAGTGGTTACTGCTAAGGCTTTTTTAAACGCTGGGAACAATCGCGTGCAGAAGACGAAAATCACATCCAGTTAGAATGTGATAAACGAGAAAGAGCCACGGGGACAGCTCCGTTTGCTCCCGGGGAAACCGAGTCAGCCCCTTCGCCACAGGACTCTTAGTGCCCCTCGGCAAAAACCAAGGGTTTCCACTTGACCTCCGCAGCCAAGGGGTGCCAGACGGCACTCTGACTTTCCCTTCGGATGACAGCATTATAAAATACTGAAAAACGTCACTTACATAACCCACATCCGGCCGGTAACAAGTATAAGCGCCCAAAATACTGTGCAACATGTCATGGTAAGGCCCGCCCTAGAGGGTCAACACAGCAAGAACGACACATGCGTGAGTATGTTAGCTCCGAGCCACACGGATGCCACGCGGCGCCCCACTCCTCCGGCAGCGCGGTGCCAGCCGCTCCACGTGCATCGGGCAAACGACCAGATAAACCAGTGCGGCTCAGCCTACGAAGCTGCTCTGGGAAAAGCCGGTGGGCCGGGCCCGAGGCTGCTCTAGGAGACCCTGAGCTCGCCCCTGCTGTGTAGCTGCACTGCCCTTCCAGGGTCAACAGGTGAGTGTTACCTTGGGGCCCCCAGAGCAGGCTACTCTGCTCCTTGACTGGGCCCCCGTCCAGTCTTCTGTCTTCCTCCGTCTACCATGTCCTTTGTTTCTCTGGTGTGTGCGTCTTGGCGCGGAGGGGACTGGGAGCAGCTTCTGTGGCTCGGGACCCAGGACCAGGACCTCCCATTTTATTTCATTCTTCCAGCTCTCCCACTTCTCCAAGATTTCCGTTTCTTTTTCTTTTTAAAGATTTATTTATTTATTTATTTATTTATTTGAAAGGTAGAGCTATAGAGAGGCAGAGAAAGAGAGAGGTCTTCCATCTGCTGGTTCACTCCCCAACGGGCTGCAACAGCCGGAGCTGGGCCCATCCGAAGCCAGGAGCCAGGAGCTTCCTCCTGGTCTCCCACACGGGTGCAGGGGCCCAAGCACTTGGGCCATCCTCTACTGCTTTCCTAGGCCACAGCAGAGAGCTGGAACGGAAGTGGAGCCACCGGGATGCGAACTGGCGCCCGTATGGGCTGCGGGCACTGCAGGCGGCGGCTTTCCTGCTGCGCCACACGCCAGCCCGGGATTTTTTCCTAATTGAGCACAAAAGCCAGCTGAGCAACGGCTCCCACTGACGCTGGCACGCCAGCAGACACTGCAAAGCGCTCACTGTCCACTCCCACCACACGCCCACAGTTAGCACAGGGACACAATCCAGACGTCACCAGGGGTGGCTCACAGAACGCCAGGGTCCAGGCCGTCACAACCTGACCTGCAAAGAGGCCGAGGGAAAGGAGGGAGGGCTGCAGTGCGTGCAGCCGCAGGACCAGCGTGGCTCTAACCGTTTAATGCAGCCCAGGCTGCAGGAGAAACCACACTGACCCTCCCCACAACCCAGCGTCTTCAACTTAAAGCGTCTCTTTCCTGGAACGTACCTAGAGCCTCGTCACGTCACTGCTTTCACAGAAAGAGGGACCACTCCGTATCCCAGGCTCTGTTCCAGACGCCTCGATCTACCCCACCCATGTACAGAGCTCGGGACCCTGGGGGCCACAGCCCCACGTCAAGGAGCCTTCCCACCAGCCGTCCCACACCCCACTCAGAGCTCACCCTTTTCTGAACACAGCGCTCTGCACCCAGTCAACAGGCACGCTTCTGAGCTGAGGCCCCAAGAGGTGCTCCAGGAGAAACCTCGGGGGTCCGGGGGCAGCTGGCCTGGTCCTCGGCGGGTGGGGCAGATCCCATGAACCTCGGGAGTGCCTCACTCAGCTAATTCTCCAAGAACCACCGTGGAGGGCGAGAGAGGACCGGCCAGCGGGCCTGGGTGCCTCCGCCCCCTACTTCAGTCCCGGCTAGTCCAAGCTTCCAATTCCAGCTTCCTGCTACTGTGCCTAGCAGGCAGGGTGAGGAGCCAGACCCTGGGTTCCTGCGACCCACGTGGGAGACTCGGATGGAGTTCCTGATTCCTGGCTGTCGTGGGAGTCGGGAAGTGACCCTGCAGATGGAGGATGTTCATATGCACGTATGAGGGTACCCACGTCTCTTTCTCTTTTTTTTTTTTTTTTTTTTTGACAGGCAGAGTGGACAGTGAGAGAGAGAGACAGAGAGAAAGGTCTTCCTTTGCCGTTGGTTCACCCTCCAATGGCCGCCGTGGCCGGCGCACCGCGCTGATCCAAAGGCAGGAGCCAGGTGCTTCTCCTGGTCTCCCATGGAGTGCAGGGCCCAAGCACTTGGGCCATCCTCCACTGCACTCCCTGGCCACAGCAGAGAGCTGGCCTGGAAGAGAGGCAACCGGGACAGAATCCGGTGCCCTGACCGGGACTAGAACCCGGTGTGCCGGCGCCGCTAGGCGGAGGATTAGCCTAGTGAGCCGCGGCGCCGGCCTACATCTCTGCCTTTCAGATAAATCAGGCTGCAAAGAGTCAGAGTGCTGCTAAGGTCCAGGAGCCCCTCCTTCCGACGGCACTTCCAGCACGATCCAGCTCCGCTGACTAGGAAGGTTACTAAGCTTTTTTTAAAATTTATTTAAGAGAGTTACAGACAGACGGAGGGACAGAGAAAGGTCTTCCATCCACTGGCTCACTCCCCGAATGGCTGCAACAGCCAGAGCTGGGCCGACGCGAAGCGCTGTGTGTGCCGGAGGCCATCATGCTAGCGAGAAGGAAACATGGCATTCAAAGGCCAATCGCAGGGCACAGAGTAGGAAGCCCGCCCCTCCGGAGCCCACCGTGGAGACACAGGAACTCAGTTCAGGGCGGGAAAGGGCCGCAGGGTTCAAGGGCAGAAGCCAGGAGCAGCTCTGGAGCCCCGAAGGCTGCAGAGCTTGGTGCGCTAGCACAGCCACCCGGCAGGCGTGGCCCCAGTGGGTTAAGCCGCCACTGGCAATGCCGGCATCCCGAAGGCTGGTTTAGTCCCTGCGGCTCCACTTCCGACCCAGCTCCCTGCTGACACGCCTGGGAGGGCAGTGGATACGCCCCGTCCTTGGGCCCCTGCCAGCCACATGACAGACTGGGTGGAGCTCCAGGCTCCTGGTTCAGCCTGGCCCAGCCTGGGCTGCCGCAGCAGTGCCAGGAACGGACCAGTCAATAGAAGACATCGTTCTGTCTCTTCCTCCCTCTCTGTCGCTACGCTTTCCAATGAATAACAATTAACTAATTAGTTTTTAGAAACTACTTGGGACAGGGAGGAGACGCAAAGCTGCACGTGCCGAGCCCGAGCCGCCAGGCGCCAGGGCAGCGCTCGCGGGGCCTGCAAACCACACGCTGCACCCTGCAGACAGACCCTGCGGTCCAGAGAGGGATCCGTCCAAGGGGGTTCAGATAGGAGGGACGCGAGAGGGCGTGCTCACTCTGCCAGGGTCAGCCCTCAGCCCAGCTTCAACCCAGCAGGGGAGAGGGGGTGCGGTGAGCGAGAGCGCGTGCTCACTCTGCCAGGGTCAGTCCTCAAGCCCAGCTCCAACCCAGCAGGGGAGAGGGGGTGCGGTGAGCGAGAGCGCGTGCTCACTCTGCCAGGGTCAGCCCTCAGCCCAGCTTCAACCCAGCAGGGGAGAGGGGGTGCGGTGAGGAGAGGCCTGGAGACCTAGAGTTACCGAGGCAGCAAGAACTCCCTGACGACAAGGCTAAAGGCTCCTCAGCCGCCCCTCCCGGAGCCCTCGCTGGGCAGTCCCCTGGATGCCGGGCCTCTGAGTCCAGGTTCCCCCCCTCCGCTGCAGGCAGGCGTGTCTCCCGCTGCAAGCTCAGGACAGGCGCGGTCCTGCTCACTGGACACCCGCTGCAGCTGGCCCCTGCTCAGAGCAGAGCACCACGTCCGGGCAGGGAGTGCGGACTCGACCCACACTTTGCCCCTTCCAGCCTAAGCGAGGCTCCCTCTCCCACGAGGACCGGGAGTCCCGGACACCCCACTGTCTGAGGCTTCCATTCTGGCCTCTTCTGCCTGGGTGCCTTTCCCGCCCTCTGGTCAGACCGCTACTCAACATCCAGGCCTAGCCCGAGAGTACCCCCTTCCTCCATGCCCAGCGGAAGGCACAGCGCTGCCCTGTGCTGTCAGAGTCCTAGACACAGCCACACCCCTGCCACTCCCAGGCCTGCCCGCTCTGGTGGCCGCTCAACTCATCTGCTCTAAGCACTCCACCAGCCTTCACTGGCCACCTACTATGTGCAAGGCAGGACTTGGAGACCTGGGCCCGACGGCACTGACTAGGGACGCAAAGGCTGCTATGGAGGCAGGGGGGTGAACAGAGGAAGGAGAGGCCAGGAGAGACGAGAAGGAGCTGGGGCAGGGAGCTGAGACTCTGGACTAGGGAAAGGCGCAGAGAAGGGACAGACGCGCAGGGAGACTGGAAGAAGTGGCAGAGCCATCACAGACAGGCTGAGGGACAGCTCGAACACACTTTGACCTCTGCCCTCACTGTCCGCCCACCTGCACAGCTGGCTTCCGGCCCCATAGCCACTCCCCTGGCCCACCGGCTCAGAAAGCCCACCACCGCTGCTCAGCCGCCCACCCGGGCTACTCCACAGATCCCGGGGCTCTCCCTTTCTCCCTGAGTGGAGGCGGATCTCACGGCGAGGGCTGCAGCGGGCAGCAGTGAGAACACGGGAGTGCCCAGCAAGGCCGTGACAGCCGCGCACAGTGCCATGCGCGGGCCTTCCGTGTGCCGCCTGCACGTCAGGAGCCAGCAGCCTCTCAGAGACCAGAAACGAGCTGGGGGGGGGGGGGGGGATCAGTGACACTTATTTTTGAAAGTCTAAACGTACTGGGAGTGTGACCTACCTGCCCTCCCCCTCACCCCACACACGTGCGTGACCGCGGACACGTGCGGTGCAGCCGATCGCCTTAGACAGATGCCCTCGAAGCCGGCGAAGCACCGCACTTACCTGCTGGAAGATGCAGAGGCTCGGAAACGTCCTGGAGATGTCCAGTTTAATGAGCTCCAGGCTCGCCTCTCGGTCTGCCGCGGGGAATCCGGCATCTGCCGAAAGATGGGAGAGTCACCGCGCCGGGCTGGGCGGGGCCGGGCGGGGCGGGGCAGCTACCAGGCCCTCAAGGTTTACGAGCCCGGAAACAAGCAGGCTCCGCAGAACCGCACTGCCCGGATCTCCCCAGACGGAGGCGTCCGGGACGCGCAGCAGGCTGAGGGTGCCCGGCACCAGCCAACGCTGTAACATCGCCAGGTGTCTCTGAGTCTGAAGTCAAAATCTAATTGGATCTCACCTGTCATCAACAACCGTCAGTGGAAAGTAAGGACAAGTAAGGGGAGACACATAACTGAACTCAAAGCACAGAAAACCCACCTAAAAATGACTATTTGGCCTTAAACACGTGGCCTCCAAAAGCCAGAGCCAGAGCTGCCGCATGCTGGGGCAGCCCTACTCCTGCCCGGGCAGGCGTCAGAGGAGAAGCACTCCTGCGCCCGCACTCCCAGGGTCACTGGGGCACTACTCCCAACAGTCTGACTGGAACCACCTTGCGGTTCATCAACGGGTAACGGGATACGGAGCGTGGACCACGCTTCAGCCACGGAAGAGAAGGGGAGGGGCAATGGGTGACGCCGGCATCCGTGAGGGCGCTGGTGTGTGTCCCGGCTGCTCCGCTTCCCATCCAGCTCCCAACTAACGGCCTGGAAAGAGCACTGGAGGACGGCCCAAGTCCTTGGGCCCCTGCACCCCCTTGCGAGACCTGGATGGGGCTTCTCACTCTGGCCTGGCCCAGCTCTGGCTGTTGCAGCCATTTGGGGAGTGAACCAGGGATGTAAGACCTCTTACTCTCAATCTTTCCTGTCTCTCTCTAACTCTGCCTTTCAAATAAATAAAATAAATCTTTAAAAAAAAAAAAAAGGGAATTCTGTCATTCACGACAACACAAATAAACCTGTTGTGGGAAATAGGCCAGGCACACAAAGACGAACACCGCGTCCCCTCACGGGCGTGTGGGATCTGAGAACCCCATTCTTAGCAGAGTCTAGAGCGGGCGTCACCAGGGCTGGGTGGGGAGCCACCCACACGGGGCAACGTTAGCCAAAGGCTACACAATTTGAGTTACATGAAAGCATATTCCAGAGATCTGCTGTGCCACACAGCGACTACGGTTAACACACACTCCTTCTTTAAGGTTTACCTGAAAGGCAGAGTTACAGAGAGACAGAGAGAACGGTCTTCCATCTGCTGGTTCTCTCCCCAACAGCCAGAGCTGGGCCGATCTGTCACCAGTTTTTTGGGGTCTTTCAAGTAGGTGCAGGGGCCCAAGGACTTGAGCCATCCGTGCTGCTTTCCAAGCGCCGCAAGCAGGGAGCAGGATAGGAAGTGGAGCAGCTGGGACCCAAACCAGCACCCATATGGGGGGACACCAGTGCTGCAGGCGGTGGCTTAACCTGCTACGCCATGGCACCGGCCCCGGCTAACACGCTCCTGAGAAATGCTGAGAGAATGGAGGCCGGGCTCAACTCGGAGACGAAAATAACTGTGGGATGAAACGGGTGCTCACGAGTTACAATCGGCCACTCCACAACGCACACTCACGGGACTTCCAAACGCCATGTTGTGTGGGGTGAGTATGCTCAGGTTCCCTGTCAATTTAAAGGTGTAGACGTTTCGAAAATAACATAAGCTCCGTGTACGTGGGAGCCAGTGCAGGGCAAGACTCACGAATGGCATCGCCGACAAACCTGTGACTAATTCTTGGATCTGAATTCCAGCACTACAGACAGTATAAATAGGATGCTGACACACATACTCCTCC